GTGTATAAACCCTCCTCAAAGTCTAGCCAAAAAGCCAGCAACTCACACAACAGGTTCCCCAGAGCAATTCGCTCGAGAAAGTGGTACCCGGTACACGTAATACGCGGCACACAGCACAACAATCCGCCAAAACAGGCAACCCGGCCCAAAATTACCACCGTAGAAGGCAGAAACCCCGAGCGGCAGTGCAGGAGCCCAAGAATTACCCTTAAAACGGCCACAAGAGCTTAAAAAGACCAACTGGACCCCAACTGGTCCGAAGGTAAGTAGTTTCGGACTAGTCCCAAACTGGTTCCCAACTGGTCCCAGACTGGTGACCAACTGGTCCCACGAACTAGTTACCAACTGGTCCCAAAGTGGTTACCAACTGGTCCACCTACACCTCAAGTGGTCCACAAGTCACTTCACTTACAAAGCATTCGATTTAGTTGACAATAGTCGAACTAATTTTATTTAAAGAAATGGCGTGTCGTCTATTTCCGGTGTAGCAAACGTAGTACATAGGGCGACATCTAGATGTCATCTACGTCGCCCTATTCACTATGCTTTTTTATAGGAGCTTTTCAAAGCTTTGCTTTGGTGTCGGAACACAACATTGAAAGTTTCTGGATCCACAACATTGAAAGTTTCTGGAACACAAGTTGATAAAAGCGTTGTAAAAAGCATCACTAAATACCGCACCAAGCTTTGAATTCCAATTATTTTGGCTTTTAGGTTTACCAAAAGCACTAAATTTAGTGCAAAATGCACAAACTTGGCAACAGTGAGCTGAGCACATCAATGCTGAAACAGTGATGCCAGACCAAGTATTGAGTAAGTGCGCTATGTATATTTTTCTTTTAAAGCAAAAGTTCTAATTGGCGAGGGTATTGATTTTTGGTTCTTACATAGAACACTGATAAGATTCACAAACTTATCTTAGGACTTAATTAAAATAATCAACATTATTTGTAGACGAATATATTTGAGTTCGTATGAAATAGTAGCTTATGTCGGGAGGCTGACTTTAGTAAAATGTACTATTTCCTATATTCTTTAAACCACAAGGAATTTTTTTATGAAACTTTATACGAATATTGACTTGCTAGCATCGCCCTTAACATTACCGTCTTTTACGTTTATTTTCCAAGAGTTCTTCAACGACTCGGCGCCAGTGAGTCTTTCGCGATCGTATGCTGCGAATGGTTCATTATACTAAAGCCAGTCTTCCGACATAAGCTACTATTCTATACGAACACAGATGTGTATACTTCCTAATAGGCTTGTAAAATGCCCAATACCCAAATCCCTGGCATGAGTTATTATCGGTAAAAAATTGGGTACGCTCAAATCTGGCATCGCTGCAGGAAGTACAGCGCCAGTGAAACAGTGTTGATATTTTAAGTACAATTGTACTTTTTTCTGTACAATTAATTTTAAAATGTACAAAAGTACAATTTGCCGATTTTAAGTACAATTTCAACATCAAAAATACTTTTTGTACCAAACGCTCAAATCTCTTCTAGCACTTTGATTCTTAATCCGTTTACATTTAAGAAAATGGATATACCTATATTTCATATTTGCTACAAAAGGAAATTATGAATTGTAATTTTGAATGTAAACGTGATTGTGAACAGTAATATTAGTGATGTGCGTTATGATGATTGCGATTTCTTATCACCGGCGGGTGAAATATCACTCATCGCTATTTATTTAAAAAAAAATCTTTGGAAATGCAATTTACCTTATGGCGATCCTGCAGAAATAGAAGTAATTGAGCAATTTGGGGGTTGAAAGTAAAAAAACGTATGTAAATTCCATGCGTTGAAATTATAAATTATCTCTTGAGGATTTCCATTTTATCCATAGTGATCTCATTTTATGTTCATTAATATGAACTGACCTATATAGTGTATTAATGTTTTATCATCATTGTCTTCATCTTTGACAAAATTACACGGTCACCCGGTATTTATTTTTTTTTTTTAAATAATTAAGATTATTTTTTTTTTATAAAATTGTAGCTCATTATCAAACAAAAACCTTGCAAATAAATCGAAACTTGAAAGAATGAAAAAAATCAACAAAGTTTCATCAAATTTTCACAGTTTTTGTCCAGAATTTGTAGACATATTTTGGGTTAATAATTCTGTAGCCCATTCATTCTAGTATAATAAGGTGCAAGTTTGAAGTGTCTAGAAAATACCATTGATTTTTTGATTGTTTGATGTTTTGATTTGTTTGCGGTGTTGCGCACTTTCTTCCATATAACGAACGTTCGCATTTTATGTTATATGGATGAATGCGCGTGTAGCGTTGTTGTTTTTGATTCCAATATTTTAAATTAAGCTTTATTTTATAGTTTTTCTTAGACAATGATAAATGATGTACACAAATTTCAGTATGGAAAAAAAGTGCAACACCTTCAACGAAAAAAGTTCTCAAAAATCTACGCGAATTGAATGTACTATCTCGATCATTTAAACATCTCGGACTCGCCAACCACTAAAAATGATTATTTAAATCTAAAGTATATATTAAATGATATTTAATATTTGCTTTAGAGATGAAATTTCGACAAATTTGTTTAAGCAAAAATGTTAAGCGCATATGCAGAATGTGGAAGCGATATTCTTTTGCTTGCGTTTCTATGTTTATATCATTTATCAGTTTAAGCACATACGATTAAATGTAAAAAAAAATAATTTTAATTGCGGTTCCGAAAGAAATATTTATTAGTTGCATTTAGTTACGAAAAAATAGCGCCGAAAATCAATCGATTGTGCTGAAGGTGCCGGCTGCTTCCGAAAGGGCCGAAAATGGCACAATGCACACTCATTTTCCATCACTGTCACACATACAATCTTACTATTCTGTTGACTTCGTTTTCCCCTTCCGATAACTTTTTGCTTCCGCGCTTGCCCAGCACCGCTGTGCAAAGCTTTGCACGCGCAGTCGCCCGCGACACATATATGCTGATTTGGGCATCCCTAGCATACGCAATGCAACATGCTGCTGCTGCGGCGGTCAAGTTCAAGTGCACGCAATTGATTTGTATGCGTTTGCACACAAAAGAAAAAAAAAATGCGACAAACAAAAAGCTTGCTTTGACAAATTGGCAGCAAAATTATAAAATTTGAAGCTCAATGTGCAACTGGCGCGTATAAATAGTTGCGTGCGCTTGTGAGGTCGGTCATTGTCGCTTGCTTGCCAGCTTGCACATGCGTTGGAAAACATGTGTGCATACATATCTACTGAAATGCATGCTAAAGGCCGGTCCACATAGAACTTTCGCGTTGGCTTTGGCGTTGGCGTTGGCGTTGGTTTGACAGAACGCACGTTAAAAGTATGCTTGCTACAATGAACGCTTTGACATCTATTGTTTTCATTGTCATCACCAAAGCGAAAATTTTGCAGTGAAAATATAATTTAAAGTGTGTTTGTTTTTTAAAGCTATCGCAATTAAAATGTTGTCTAAAGAAGCGGTTGAAGTCATTTTAATTGCACTAATGATGTACGAGACTCGCGAATGTTTGCGAAAAATAAATTCCCGCCGGGAGTCTTGGGTGAGACCACTTTACTTAAGTCGGGATATCAATGGACTATTTGCATCAAGTTTTGAAGAAATGTATAATAATGACACTGAGCAGTTCAAAAAAACGGTTAGAATGAGCAGAACGATGTTTGACCATCTCCTCGGACTTGTAGGAGAGCGTCTTACTAAGCATTCCAATAGGCCATCAATACCTGCCGCATTAAGACTCTTTTTAACTTTGAAGTAAGGAAATTAAAGACATTAACCTATAATCTTTTGACAAAATAGAAATGAACTTGGTATATTTATAGTTATTTAGCACATGGAGGTAGTCAGCACATGCTCGCCATATCATATAAAATGGGACGCTCCACGGCAAATAAAATCGTTTTGAAAACATGTGAGGTTCTTTGGGATGAACTGGGTGGCATATACTTGTCTATACCAAACCGACATGAATGGAAACGTATTGCAAACGATTTCAATTCGATTTGGAACTTTCCCAATTGTGTAGGTGCTATTGACGGAAAGCACATAATATTAAAGTGCCCTCCTAGCTCGGGATCCTTATTTTACAACTACAAGGGAACATACTCCATCGTACTTTTGGCATGTTGCGATGCTAATTACACGTTTACCTGCATCGATATTGGTGCATATGGCTCTCAAAGTGATGGTGGTGTATTGTGCAATTCGAGCTTTGGGAGAAGACTTTTCAACAACCAATTAGACCTTCCCGAGGATGATATTCTGCCACACTCCACCCTTAGATTTCCTCATTTTTTTGTTGGAGATGCAGCATTTCCCTTAAAAAGCTATATTATGCGACCATATCCTATTGAAATTTTATTCGTTTTTCTAAACATACATATACGCTTTTTAGGAATACGTTTGTCGCCTGACCACGAACTTTTCAATAAGCGTCTTTCAAGAGCTCGGCGCGTTATAGAAAACGCGTTTGGAATTATGACAACTCGCTGGAGAATTCTTCTGTCCCCATTGCAAATGCATCCAACGAGTGCCGAGAGCATTGACAAAGCAACAGTGCTATTACATAACTTTTTAAAAATGCACGATGGCACTTATTGCCCACCAGAATTTGTCGACCAATACCAAGGAGACAATATTGTCGGTGGTTTATGGCGACAGGAAATTACAACGCCCCTTCGACGAACTGGTCGATTAATGGCGAACAATGCCGCCAGAAGTGCTTTCAATTTGAGGGATCAGTTAAAAGACTACATAACCGCGCACCCTATTAATTAAATAATAATATTCTCTTTCATCAATTTGTTCTTAAACTATACTTTTAGATGTACCTATTTTTTCATAAATTCATTCTTTATTAATTAGTATTGGTTGCTATCCCAGAATCCATCGTAGTCTGATTTTTCGTGAAATCTACGAAAATGCGATCACTGGATCCGAATTAAAACGAAGGAGTGAATTAAAAGTATATGCTACGTTCGTAGCTAATCGAATTCAAGGATAGCATTTTCGTAGATTCCACGAAAAATCGGACTACGATGGATTCTGTGATAGCCATGATTAGCACATCATTTTTGTTTTGCTTTTTAAGCACATACAAAAACGATACAACAAGATACAGCCCGCGACAAAACGGTAGCACATCAAAATTTTGATCAGTTTTGACTATATATCTTTTCTTTCTTCATTATTTTTCTATAAAATTATAGCTCATTAGCTAACAAAAATCTTAAAAATCCAAATTCACAAACTTTTCATACCAATTTCAATCATATTTATTAGAATTTCTAATCATTTTTAGTATGCTGTTTTATAACATATACAATTTTACAAATTTTGAAATTTAGATTTATATGGCTTTTGCTGGATAAAGAACTATAATTTAATAAAAAATAAATGAATGTTAAAGACAAAAGAAAAGTAGTAAAAACTGGTCAAAATATTGATGTGCTATCTTTTGTCGCGGGCTGTAGTAAACATTAATTTTTAAATTTTTAATATGTACCACTATTTTAATTCCGAAATTGGTTTTTAAATTAATCATACTCACTGTAAACACCATACATTTTAAATAAAATATTAGTATTATATTGTACATACGTGTGTATGTATAAACATTAACTTTTTATTTTATAATTACAAGGCACAACAAAAAACACCTAAATATAAATTATGAGGATTCAGTGCTCTATTTAAAAACATAAATTATGAGGATTCAGTGCTCTATTTAAAAACATAAATTAAGAGGATTCAATACGCTATTTAAAAACATAAATTAAGAGGATTGAATCCCTTATTTAAAAAAGACTATTTCACTAAGTTGTACACCTGTGTGCACAAATATTGGAGTAGAATTCAAAATGAAATTTTGTGCAACCTAAGAATATTTATTTTTAATAATTTTCATTCAAATTCTAGTTTATAGTAGATTCGAAACTTGGATTTAAACGTATTCGGTTATAAATAAAAATATGATTTAAATGAAAATTATTAAAAATAAATATTCTTAGGTTGCACACAATTTCATTTTGAATTCTACTCCAATATTTGTGAACACAGGTGTAAATAAGTTACGATTACACAGGTACAAAAACAATTTCACAAAGTATTTTTTTGAACACAGGTGCAAATAAGTGTAAGGTACAAAAACAATTTCAGAAAGTTATCAATTACGGATTCGCAAACAGCACAATAGTAACAATTAACTGCAACCCGAAAGCTTTAATAATAGCTAAAAAAATTCAGTTTTCTAAGGTTCTAGAAAGCTATTTATTAAAGCACCGGCTCACAAAAAAAAAATTAAACACAATTGTAATTGAATACGTAGTTTAATATTTCCATTTTCAATGTATCTTGTATCTGTTCTGAATGCTTTAATAAGTAACTATCCAGAACCTTATAGAACTCGTAATTGCGGCTTTTATCAAAGCTTTCGGATTCAGATTGCCTTTCTACGAATTTATTCACTACATCACATAGTGACCCAAATCTCTCATTTGCCTTGTCTTCCATTCGGACCCGTTTTTTTTTTTATGGAGCTAGCATCAATAGAGGCTCTTGGAGAACTAATTTCTTCGCAATTCTCCACCTCTGAGTCCTGTGTGTTGCTGTTAATTGTATCCCCATCCGTTTGGGAGAAATCCAGGCTCGAAAACGTTCTGCAAGTAAACAAGAAAAATGTTATTAATACATATTATATATTTATGTCATCGAGAAACTAAACTGGCAACCAAAAGAGCGTGGTGTTTTTTTTTAATATTTGCAATGTTTTTCAAGTTAAAATGGTTATTTCCTTATAAAAATATGGTTCATGTTTTAATCAAAACCACATAAGTCAGACTTTCATACCTTATACAGAACTTATATATACACTTATACACAAACTTATACTTATATACTTATATACAAAAAACACCATGCACTCACTTTTGATTGCCAGTGCAAACGGCACAATCATTTCAGTTAACTATTTTTAATTGAGTACACCGTCACTGCATGTTTCATTGATAAACTTACCTTCGAGGAGCAACATGATCTTTTAAAAAACTCATTGCCTCCATGTGCGACCATGTTGGCATTTCCTCAGCAGCAGCCCCCGACCGCCCTTTTAATGCAGCAGTCTCCCGGACGAAGCGGTCCCTCAGAGACTTCCACCTCGTTTGACAATGCTTTTCTGCCGGAGGAATTTGATTTAAAACTTATATACAACTTTTAATATATATATGCATACGTACCAGATACGCCCACCAGCTGTGCCACCTTCTCCCAAGCCTTTTCCTTTAAAAATTTGTTTCGGAAAAGGTTGGAGCTTTTATCGTAGAGGCAGGGGTGCGCACTGACAGCTTCTATTAATTTATCTTCCATTTTACCTGCAAATAAAACAATAATACATACATATTTATATCGTTTGTTTGTTTATAAGTGTAATAAACAAGTTTTTACATAAATTAAATGTTTACTCACGTTTTTAAGTGAAAATTCAGTCAATTTAATTTGTTCGCCGCGTCCTTCTCAAATTTTCATTAAATTTATATCCATCAGCTGATTGACAACGCGCGCAAAAAGATGAAAGATGCCCATCTTTTTGCGTGCGATAACTTTGGCGTTGGCGTTGCCGTTGATATGTGGACATGTTCATATAATTGTGCGTATTCATAGTCAGCTGTTAAT